CCTTAAAAAAAATGGGTAAGATTTCAAGAGAGTTTAATTAAAGCACCAAATATGGCAAGAAAGGCAAGTTTGCTAATCTGGGCCTCAGCTGATGCTGTTGCTAAATTTATTTGTTTTTCTATTAGTAACTTATAAATTTACAAACATCAGTTTACATACTTCCCCTCTCAACAGGAAAATTAAGTTACGAGGGTTAATTTTATGGTATTTTTAACCTGTTCTATTCAATTTTATATAAGCTTAATTAAGCTAAGTAGGAAAAAAAGTCTCATCCAAACCAGGATTAGATTTGTCAACTTTCTAAAACAAAACCTGGTTTGAATCACAGAGGCCTTTCTTCACCCTTTACCTTCCTGAATCCCCACTTCCACTCCAAACCCCTAGAAGAAAAATACTAATGTCAGTTTATCCATTCCAGTATTGACAATTTTAATACACTCCATTGTCTCAAGCCAGGTACCACATCAGAAAATTCCAAAATCATTTGCCCTAATAACTTCCCAATTAAAAAAGACAACATGTAATCAGGAAAAAAGTTTGAAAACCTTTCCAAAAATTTACAGTAGCATAATAATTTTTCATTAACACTCACATATACTATGACCCATCAACAGGAACAAAGGAGAGAACTCTTCTGCCCATTTGCAAAGGGGCCTTTCTCCACAAACAGGCCTTAACAGTTTATTCAGGTACAGGTCTCCATTCTATGACCTTAGAACTATTCCCTAGATGTTTCATGTACCTATCTTTTTCTCTCCAACTAAATTAGGAGTTACTTGAGGGCAGAAATTATTTTTTTGTGTGTGTGTGGCAACTGGGGTTAAGTGAGAAATTATTTCTTTTACTTCTATAGCAATTACTGAAGAACTGTTAGAGGCTTCTTTAAATGTTCATTGAATTCAATCCAGTGAAGAAGTCATGCAGTGCTCAAGGACATACTTTCTTCTTCCCTACTTTTAAACCTACCCTTTCTGTTCCCCAATTTAGAAACTCACCAAGAACACTATCTCCCCAACAGAGATCCTGTGCCTTAGCTAATCTTGAAGTTAGAATGTCATAGCCACAAAGATTTCCTCACACTGAACAATGACTAGGTAGGCAATTGATAAAAATTATTGTGGAGGAAATGTCTGGGGCGAGGCAGGGGTTGAGGAAACAGTGGGAGATGTGAAGTAGACAACCGGATATCTTAACTGGGGATCCACAGATCTCCAAAGACCATGGCTAGATTTTGGGGAGTACATAAACGAGATGGAAAAAAAATTACATCTTTATTTTCACTAACCGCTAACTGAAGTTTAGTATTTTCTTCATTTGAAAACACTTCAGAAAAGGGCTTTACCAGACTGCCAAAGGGGTCCCTGACACAGAAAATGTTAAGAACCCCTGGTATAGATGGAGGGATGGCTGGGTAAACTGGATAGCTGAACTTAGGGAGGAAATGTTCACAAATAATGTCACTGACTTTTAAAAGTTTTAGAAACACTAATCTAAAAGCACAGAAGGCCTGAAATCACTTTGTACCATCAGCTTTTATTCAAGGACTGACAACTCAGTCTGTGGAGTATCCAGACCCTTCTCTTCTTTCCAGTTCATTCTGCTAGGCTAGTCACTGTTATGTGAAAAGGCAAGGAAGTATCTCCAAAAATAGTAGGAAAGGAAAAGAAAAAGTGGTCAAGCTCAAGTAAGTTACTTTAGCTCCCTGCTGGCAAAAATAACTGACAAAAAAAGGAATATAAATGACTAAAATGAAATTTCTGGCCTTTTGTGTATTTTGTTTATACATCTTCTCAAACTTACTCCCATTACTTTAAATGAGTAAGAATTAGGGAAATTCACTTTTTTCTCTATGGATTTAGAATTCCACTGGTCATTAACCCTATCCTTCATCCCAACTGTGCACCTAAGTAGCCCTTACTCCCTACATATTTGCTCTTGAACTGCATATTCTTCAAATATTTTCACTGTTTTGCAATATTTTGTTTTAATCTTTTGTCTGTATGTCCTTTATGTGGTCATATAAAATTAGTTCAGCCTTTCATAGATTCTAACTTCCAGAGGGCAAAGATAATTTCTGTAATTCTCTTTATCCTAACATATTGCCAGGAGTGATTAGATATTCAATATATTTTTCTGATGGAAAGAAGGAAGATAATGAAAATGATAATGTAGATATCTTAAGAAAACACTAGAAGAAATCAACCTATGAAGAAAAAAAGTTGTAAATATTAAATGGGAAAGTAGGCCACAGTAAAAGAGAAAAAGAAAGCTATTCTTCAGATACTAGAGGAGGTTAAACAAATCAAGTTATAAGGATCATGAATGCTCATTTAAAAAGATATATTCTTCCCTATTTCCCAAAGTATCTTCCTCCCAAGGATCTATCTATCCAACACTATGTCATTTCTCATAGTAGCCCAGGGAGGAAGTTAAGTAGTTATCACCCTAACTGAAGAGAAAAACTAATCAAGGTATAGAGGGAACTTGCTAGCCCAAGGTTATATCAAAAAGATACCCAAAAGCTATGAATAATAAAAAAGGTTGTAATTCCTAAATACAGACTTGAATGGCAATAAAGAATCCATTTAAATAATTTGTTTCATCTTTTGCCTTTATGTGTGGTTTACAAGTTTCATAAGCAATGAAGAGGTTCAATTAATCACAAGGCTATATGATTACAATTTTGGCATTCCTAGATTACTGGGCAATGTAATTAAAAGTACTCTTGAAAGGTAGGTTCAGGCTAGAAAGCTCTCCAACACATCAAAATGAGGATAATAATAGCACCTACCTTACAGGGCTGTTATGAGGAGTTAGTCAACAAACATTTATTAAATGCTTACTAGGTGCAAGGAAAGGGCAGCTAGGAGGTTAAAGAGCCTAAATCTAGCCTGTAGACACTTATTAGCTGTGTGATCCTGGACAAGTCACTTAACCCTGTTTGCCTCAATTTCCTCATCTATAAAATGAGCTGGAGAAGGAAATGGCAAACCACTCTAGCATCTTTGCCAAGAAAACTCCAAATGGGGTCAAATAGTCAAACACTGACTGAACAACAAAGGTGCAAGGACTGAGTATCAAACTTTAATGAGCTATATATAAATGCCAGTTATTATTATTAATCAATCAATCAACAAGTATTTATTAAGCCCTTACTATTGTGGGAGGCATTTTCTAGGTTATTTCCTCTGTTTTGCTGGCAATTTTTATTTGGGGAAACAGAAAGGAGAGAGTGGAGATTTCTCCCCCTACTCATCTAATTCTTTGCATGTTCCACATTTAGGCCCTAATAAGCCTAAATATGAGATTCAAAGCTAAACAGGGCTTAAAATACCATAGTGAATAAAATGTTAGACATGCAGTCAGGAAGCTCCCCATCTCTTGTCACTTTGTAGTTATACAGCTATGAGGGAATTGCTTAAATTCTGAGTCTCAGGTATCCTTATTAATATCCTCAGGTATCCTCATAAAATAGAACTAATAATACTTGTACTGCCAACCTCACAGGGTTATGAAGCTCAAATGAAATGATGTGCCCTAAAGTGTTTTGCAACCTTTAAAGCACAATAAAACCTCAAGCTGTGTTTATTATTAAACCTGCTTCCTCCTGTTTAGTCATCCCATCACTGGAAACTAAGCCAGCGATCTGCAAAATCCCAATGGTTTTCTTAGTCTATCACAACTTTTATTACGAATTGTACCTTCTCCCTCAACTGCCAAATGCGGGAAGAAATAAGTAAATAAATCAACAGGTCTGGAGTGCCGGCCCTGAAGCTGCTCAGACAGAAGCACGAAAAAGGAAGTGAGTATGAGTCGGGGTGTATCCCTTACACTGACCTCCTTTTCCTCACACTCATGAGGTTTCTCCTAAGCCAAGGAAGACGGCATGAACGGGGCAAGGAAGAGGTGGGAACGGCTCTCCAGCCAGCCTGCCTCCTCTCCTTCCCTTCCTCCATCCGCCGCTGCTGCCGCCGCCGCCTCCTCCTCCTGCATCCGAGTGTGTCTGGGGACTCGCTGTCACTGCGCTTCTCAGGCCAAGGGCAAGCTGGACCAGGGCGGCGAGTGACCCCAGAGAGGGCAGCTTGGAGAGGGGGGAGGAAGGGGAGACAGGGGAGACAGGACTCTCCTCCCTCGGGATTCTTGTCCCCCAAATGCTCCCCTTTCCTCATCGCCTAACACGGAAAAACAAGGCACCCCCCCCCC